AGATGTGGTCTCGCCAAGTTGCCCAGGAGGGTCTCGAACCCGCTGGCTCAGGCAATCCACTCACCTCAGCCTCCCAAAGCGTGGGATTAGAGGCTGAGCCACCGAGCCCAGCAGGGGGCTTCTTAAAGAGATTAAACAAGATTATGCAGTATGAAGTGCTTAACAGTGTGTGAACTAGACATGTTAATTTTTAAAATAAATGTTCTATCAGTATTTCTATTATTGTTATTATTATCTTCAATATTCTTGCTGAGATGTTAATATGAAGTTGCGTATAAAAGCCAGTGTAAAAAAAATGAACTGTGATACTACAAATTCTTATCCTGAGAGCCTCAAATTTTAAAAGATGAAGATTGTAACAGTTTCCATTCCCTTTTTAGGTTCAAGTGTTGGCCTTTTTATATATGCTGCTCTACAGAGGATGCTGATTGAGTTTTATGGATTGGATGGATGCTTACTGATCGTGGGTGCTTTAGCTTTAAATATATTAGCCTGTGGCAGTCTGATGAGACCCCTCCAGTCTTCTGATGGTCCTCTGCCTGAAAAAACAGCTCCAGAAAATGTACCAGATAGATACTCCATTTACAATGAAAAAGAAAAGAACGTGGAAGAAAACATAAACATTCTCGACAGGAGCTGCTGTAGTGAGGAAAAACGCAAGAACACTTTAGCCAACGGTAAATGGAAACAGGAGTGTCTACTTCATAAAAACCCTGCAACGATGGCACACACAAAAGAGCCTGAAACGTACAAAAAGAAAGTTGCAGAGCAGACATATTTTTGTAAACAACTTGCCAAGAGGAAGTGGCAGTTATATAAAATCTACTGTGGAGAAACTGTGGCTCTTTTTAAGAACAAAGTCTTTTCAGCACTTTTCATCGCTATCTTACTCTTTGACATTGGAGGTTTTCCACCTTCATTACTTATGGAAGATGTAGCAAGAAGTTCAAATGTTAAAGAAGAAGAGTTTATTATGCCTCTTATTTCCATTATAGGCATTATGACAACCGTTGGTAAACTGCTTTTAGGGATACTGGCTGACTTCAAGTGGATTAATACCTTATATCTTTATGTAGCTACCTTAATTATCATGGGTCTGGCCTTGTGCGCAATTCCACTTGCCAAGAGTTATGTCACATTGGCAATTCTTTCTGCGATTCTAGGGTTTTTTACTGGTAATTGGTCCATCTTCCCATATGTGACCACGAAGACTGTGGGAATTGAAAAATTAGCCCATGCCTATGGGATATTAATGTTCTTTGCTGGACTTGGAAATAGCCTTGGACCACCCATTGTTGGTAAGATATTTATCTTAAAGTCAGCTCATTTTACTGTTCTTCATTGTAACATCTCCAGATATAGAAATCCAGATTGTAATAACAACCCAGATTTGTACAAAATAAATCTACATGGAATGTCTCATGTTAATGATTTATTCAAAATCAGATATTTGAGAGATTCTCTTATCCAGATATTTGAGAGATTCTCCTCTACTAACTCCTGATAGGCCACATTGGAAAAAGTGGGGGATAGCATATATCCTAATCCTAACTATATATACAGCTGATGAAATTAAGATATGGTAATCATATTCATACTATTTCTGCAAAACTCATTTGTTTCTTACTGTCTTTTCAGGTTGGTTTTATGACTGGACCCAGACCTATGACATTGCATTTTATTTCAGTGGCTTCTGCGTCCTGCTGGGAGGTTTCATTCTGCTGCTGGCAGCCTTGCCCCCTTGGGATACTTGCAACAAGCAACTCCCCAAACCAGCTCCAACTACTTTCTTGTACAAAGTTGCCTCGAATGTCTAGAGGAATAATGGAGGACACTATTTTTGCTGTTTTATACCATACAGCAAAAATATTTTAACAAATTTTCTAGAGTCAAGACTATTTTCTCATAGCAAAATTTCACTGTGGCTGACTCTGAATGATTTTTTAAAAAATGTATCCAATTCTTTATGTACTGTATGTGTGACCTCTATCTCATGTATTATTTTTAGTCTTTTTCTACCCAAGAAGTGGGACTATTCTGTCTTACTGTTATTCATTAGCTCTCAACATTGTAAAAATTTTGACCAGCCTCAAACGGTTTTCTCCGCATAAAGAAGTATAGTTCTCTACCAACTCCATTTATTCCATGGCAAGGCACCTAATGGGGTCTCTTCTATTTTAAAAGTGATGCAAGTGGCATGATGGGAAATGTGTGAAGGCCACTAGAAAGTAAATCATTCTCTTCTCTATGGTAGATTTGGTAGTAAATAAAAGACTCCAAGCCAGCCAGGAAATTAAGGTGGTTACTAAAACAGTCTTAATAGTTGCAGTGGAGCAAACTGGTCATTTAAAAAAATATTTTAACTTGCAGTCACCCATTTTTTAAATTCTATTTGATTGGCCTTGATGAAGCACTCACATGCAGTTTGGTGCGCACTGAGCATAAACTGTTTCAGTTCCTAAGGTGCTTGCTGAGATGTAGGCGAACTCCAAAGGAGCTCCTTCATGGTTTTTCTAGCCTTTTGTCACGATTGGCCCTTATAATCGTGCTCACTATCGTATGTCGGCATCCACTCAGCTGATGTTTTCCAGGAAGTGCTAATTTTACCTGTTTCCAAGTTGGAAATGCATTTTTCAACCATTCCATTCTGGCAAATGGGAAACATCCATTTGCTTTGGGCACAGTGGGGATGAATTGCAAGTCTGCATATCTTCCCGGTGAAGTATTTATTTGCTTATATCAGATTTTACCACTATCAAATTTTAATTCAAGGATAGAACTAAGTGAACACGCGCGCGTGCGCGCGCGTGCGTGTGTGTGTGTGTGTGTGTGTGTGTGTGTGTGTATGCATGCCCTGAGTCTGGGTTATGGAAATAGAAAAGGACAATAAGGAATTGCTACTCTTATTCAACTTCATATAAAGAATAATGTCTAGGAAAAAAATAAATGTTTAATAAGTTGACATTTTTTCCTAAAGAAATGGGTTTGAAACTTTGGTATGTATCAGAATCCCTTATAGATTCTTTTAAAAATATAGGTGCCTGGGTACCATGCTTAGCAATTTTAATTCTGTAGGCCTAGGATGTCACCCAAACATCCATATTTTTAACGGCTCTTCAAGTGATTCTGACAGACCATCCTGGGATGAGAATAAGATTGGCAATAGAAAAGCAGTTATTCTTTTAAATAATAACAAAATAAACCATTTTATTGATCGTGAGTTTTTATAAATAAATAGTGAAGAGTTCTTGAAATAAGAGGCACCCTTCCCATTGTACCAAAATTATCTTTTCATTTCTTTTGCAATATGTAAGTTTGTCTTATGCATCTATGTTGCCTTTCTTTGAAGGCGCCTGAAGCACTTTATATGTACGAATCCTCACAACACCTCTGTGAGGTAGGTCAAAAAGTACTTTTCTATGTAGCAAATCTGTAGTACGGAGTATTTCATAACTGAGTTAATTTTACTCAATAATGCAATAATGGAGCTCCAAGGTGTTTTGGACTTCTGCTCCATACTCAGACTTCTGGAAAGTTTTCTGTACCTCATTCTTTAGTCACTGTCAAGGTTAGTAAATACAATAAGTGACATTACAGAAATGAACTACATGTTTTTTGTGTTGAAAGTTCCTTTGTGCCAGTTTATATTCAGAAGATCCAATAACCTGAAAAAGTTTGACTTTTACGATATCTCCGATTTCATCAATGTTGATAATTGTCCAAATGCATCTTCACTATGTCTACTAATATCATCCAATATGTGAATTATCTGTTGTTTAGGGAATGAATTTTAAGTCACAATAAAATATTCTTGTTTGTTTGTTTTGCATTAGTTTTGTTGCTTTCTTCCCTCTTAGTTTTCCTCCCAATTATAGTGATACTTTACTCGAATGTAAAAATTACCCAATATAATTTAGTCTTCAGAATTTGGTGCTTAGACAAGAGCATATTCAAAAGTTAATTTGCTTAACCAGTTTTGCCTTTACCTTCCAAAAAGCTAAGATATCAGACCTGCAGAATCCTCTTGAGGAAAAAAGGACAGATTCCTCTCTCAAATTCTTACTAATGATTCCACCAGCCATTTATAGAATTCTTAATATGTTTCAAGCTTATATTGTTTAATCCTTATAATAACCTTGTGAGGCAGAGGTCATAACTCTCATTTTACAGTCCAAAATATAATTGTCATAATGATATGGACACCAGGTTTAAAAAGTATAAGTAATTTCCTAAAACAAAATGAGAAAGCTTTTTCTTTGTAGAAATTAGTGTAAACATTTTGATTTCTAACATGGCTAGGAAAGGCCCCATAGCTGGGAGAGCTGCTGTAAAGCCAATCCTTTAGCAAACAGAGAAGTAATGTTATATAAAAAATTATTCAAGACTTGTTCATTTTCCCAAAATTAGCATTTTAAAAACTTACTTAAAATTACATTGAATCTTTCTTTTGTGACTCAAAAGGTAGTTCTTGACATTGGAAGTGCCTTGTGCTGAGTTTGGGAAAGATGTAAAGTAAGAAAGTTTGTTAGGGACTCTCCTCCCTGACTTTCAACAGCTCCTCACTTGGCCTTCTGTCCCTTTCTCTGAGCCTCCTGGGAGTCAAGAGGTGTTCTAATTTTCCCCAGGGTAATCATGTCAAGGGAGAAGGTTCTGCCACCAACTTTTAAAGTGCCCATGACATGAGGAGCCATTCCTAAGCACTGGGAATATATATCCTGGTTGCCCACTCCCGTAACCTTAGAAAGCCTCAACTCTTAGCAATCAATATATAATTATCTTAATTCGAGATTATGTTTCAGGACATAAAGGAGAGCTCTTTTCTGAGGGAAGGAATGTCTCATGTTTTTCTTTTACTTAGAATATTATATTGAACGCACAAAATACACAATTTACATTAGCAGTGCTGTGCAATTTCTCCTCTGTTACAATCTTGGGTCCTAGGGCTGTATGGTCTACTATGTCTGAAGGATGCCAGTTAGTAAGATCCCTTTTTGAGAAAAGAGCTTAACCACAATCGGTTAAAATGACCAGAGATCTATGAATACATGGATAATAATTAAGGATGCAGTATACATATTGTTGAAATTGTGATTCCATAACCAGATTGCCTGGGTTCAAATCCTATCTTAGTTCCTGTGGCCTGGTGACTGTGAGCAAATTATTTAGCATCTCAAAAGAGCCTCCGTTTTCTCATGTATAAAACACATTATAGGGCAATTATGGGAATTAAATAAGATAATCCATGTATACGCCTGGCACATGGTAGCTGCCTAATACAATATTAACCATTATTATTTTTGTTGTTGTCATCATTATTCTTTTTTTTATTTTTTTTTTTGAGTTGGAGTCTCACTTGGTCGCCCAGACTGGAGTGCAGTGGCCACTCCCGGCCACTGCAGCCTC